TTTTAATAGCAGACTCAGAAAAGGACCTTCAATCACTTCTAGATACTGTTGTAGCGGAAAGTGAACGTAAAGAGTTTTGTTGAATGTAAAGAAAACAGAATGCTTGGTAATATCTAAAAAGCAGCAAATCCTTTTTGTAATGGGATAAGCAAAGGTTAAAAGATCAAACATGTCGAACAGTTTAAATATCTAGGATATATAATAACATTTGATGCCAAATGTCCCACAGAAATAAAACGAAGAATTGCAATTGCTAAGGCTGGTTTCAATCAAATGAGCTCAATCCTCAAAAATAAAAACATATCAATGATTATCAAAATGAAAGTTCTGAAACGCTAGGTATGATCAACCCTTCTATATGTCTGTGAATGCTGGACAATCACTAAAGACAGTGAAAATAAAATAGAAGCAATAGAAATGTGGTTTCTTTGGAGAATGCTGAGAATATCGTGGAAGAAAAAGAAATCAAATGAGGTAGTACTTGATAAAGCCTACGTGGGGCGCTCATTGTTAAAAACAATCAGGAAAAGACAAATGCAGTTTTTGGGACACCTGAATAGACACAAAGGTCTGAAACATCTAGCTCTCACTGGCAACATTGAAGGCAAACGAGGCAGGGGTAGGCCCAGAACAATCTACCTAGAACCTAAACAGATGGATAACGGGAAAGATCAGGGTAACGTAGCATTTTTAAGAGCATCCGAGCAGAGTAATGGACAGAGAACCATGATCGCCGATGTCTGTCGCAGATCTGGCACTTGATGATGATGATACTCTTCTCATAGGTTTAGGATCCTGATGTTTTACCGAGAAGTCACCTTGTAAACATTTCCAGAAACACGTTTAGTTACGAGAGAACTCAGCTCAAATTCTGAAGAGATCAATAAGGGAATGAGGTGTCTAAATGGTCTTCTCACTTCTGGCTCCGGCACAAAACAGTTCTTGTTGTTATTTATTAATGTTCATGAAACAAACAAAATATTATTATTATGCCGCTCTCATTTGGCTTAAAGTTGTTACGAGCGCCGTAAATGACTTACCAAACTGAATCCGACTTATAATGCCATGCACTTCGCCACATTGTCTTAATTTGATCAATATGATTACCAGCTTTGAACACCTTCCCAGAATATGTTCGACAAAGCATCAATGTTTTTAAAAAATAATGGACATTTTGTACAACTCCTTCTGTATCCACAGGACATGTTTCTGGGCAAACCCATCGGTATCCTGTCGCTTCTGGATGAGGAAAGCCTGTTCCCTAAGGTAGATTGACCGTCGATGATGGTATTATGAAATTCACGATTCTTGTACCGTGTAGCATAGAAATATTATTTGTTTGTTAGTTGTGATAGTTCAGTGTACTGTTTATGTTATTTTTCTAGATAGAACGTAGACTTGTATTATAAAAAGTTATACTTGTTTAATTTAGTATCCCATCTCTCTATCCCCTTCTCCCCTTCTCGCTCTCCTTCTCTCTTTCTCTCTCTCCTTCTTTTCTCTTCTCTATTTCTACTCTCTCTCTCTCTCTCTCTCTCTCTTTATCAATCTCTCTTCTCTCTCTTTCTCTCTCTTTTTCTCTCTTTCTCTCTCTTCCCTCCCCCTCTCTCTTTTTCCTCTGGCATAACCTTCAGAGAAGCTATATACGACTGAAAGTGAAAGCGTCCTCTATGCTCACCATTTACTGGACCGTGTGTCACCCACTAACCAGCCTTGTGCATCACGCACTACATAATGTACCTCTTTATTGTACTTTACAGAGCTTCACTTGCTTTCTTTTACTAATCTGTCTTGGTTACAGTGTGACATCTGGTCCTGATTTCGTCCTCAGGGTACTGACCAATCCTATGTTGACAAACTCACAAAGGCGTTTACAGGCAACCAGTATTTCGTCAAAAGTCAGCAAACCAACCAGGCAATCTTCTCCATCAACCATTATGCTGGCAAGGCAAGTAAACACACTAGTCGCTAATTTAGATGACTTTTGATCTAGCTGATAAGAGCTCAAAGCTCGAAAATACTACAGGCCCTTCAAACAAACAAACAGACAAACAATCAAACAAACAAACAATAATTAAATAAACAAATAAATAGATAACAGTACCCTATTATGTTATTCTGACTTCGTTAGTTTTTGCAAAGTGGTGGGGCCTTTACAACTTACAGGTAATCTTAGAATCATTACAAGAACACACTAAACGTACAATAAATCAGAACGTTCAAATGAATGAGACTTTTCTTGCAAATGATCATTGTCTTTCCTGGGAGTAACACAAGGAAACTTAAAAAACGGTATTGTATAAACCTAGTGAACAATTAAATACTAAGCTTTATTTAAGTTAAGGAAGCGTATCGTAGACCCCCTCCCCCCCCCCCCAAAAAAAAATGATAATAAAAGATACAATACTGCCTGCATTAGGTAGCACAATGAGAACGATTAGACTTTTCTTCTTTTAGTTTAACAGAATTATATAATGCTACTTTTATGGTGTCCATTTTGTAAAACCTTACTTGTTTTTGTAGGTGACTTACGCAGCTGAGAAGTGGCTGGAGAAGAACAGGGACACTCTGCCTCCTGGCATCACAGAGGTGCTACAGTCCAGTGAAAACCGGCTCGTGAAGACCATCTTCAGAGGTAGGCTTGCGGAGCTCCTTAACTGCTCTCTCTCTCTCTCTCTCTCTCTCTCTCTCTCTCTCTCTCTCTCTCTCTCTCTCTCTCTCTCTCTCGCTCTATTTCTCTCCTACTGTCTGTCTGTCTGTCTGTCTGTCTGTCTGTCTGTCTGTCTGTCTGTCTGTCTGTCTGTCTGTCTGTCTCTCTCTCTCATTCACTCTCTTTCTGGGTCTGTGTCTGTGCCATTCTCTCTCCCTCTCTCTTTCTCTCTCTCTCTCTCTCTCTCTCTCTCTCTCTCTCTCTCTCCCTCTCTCTCTCTCTCTTTCTCGAGCGCGCGCTCTCTCTTTGTCGCGGTCTCTGTCTCTGTCTCTCTGTCTCTCTGTCTCTCTGTCTCTCTGTCTCTGTCTCTGCCTCTCTCTTCCTCCCTCTCTCGGTGTTTCTGTCTGTCTGTCTGTCTGTCTGTCTGTCTGTCTGTCTGTCTGTCTGTCTGTCTGTCCGTCTCTCTCTCTCTCTCTCTCTCTCTCTCTCTCTCCCCCTCTCTCTCTCTCTCTCTCTCTCTCTCTCTCTCTCTCTCAACAGTATTGTTGCGTAGGGATGCAGATGGTGTGTCTCTTCAAGGTCAGCCTCTTCTGTTAAAGTTCCCCCCGAAAGAGGACAAGGAAGAAATAAATAGAAGTGTTTATTACGGCGTGCGACCAAAATTAAATGATTAAAAAAACAAGCACTGAGATTGCTTTGGTGTGTGTCTCGAGTCACAATAAGAGTTAGTTGTTAGATTTATTCTTATTGTAAGAAGGTGTTTTACGTCCACATCAACACAGTTTTGGTCATTCATGAGGGCCAACCCGCGCTGAGAGGGATGCAACATCCCAGCAGAAATGCCAAGATACTCAAAGAATCTTCTCCCCTCTCGGGGAATCGAACTCGGTTCTCCTGCATGAAACGGCGAAGCCCCCAACCGTTACATCACCGTAATCAGTTTATTGTTATTTATGAAATCTATGACATTCCTGATGATATTGCTTTTATTATTGCCGTTAATGCTGTTGTTTGTATTGGAGTGCTCAATGGTGTGTCTATTCGAGATCAGCCTTTTCTGCTGATGTACCTAAGTCCACATTTTTAACGTGTGAGAACAGTTTCCACCAAGTGTTTCCTAATACTCTACAGGTCAACTCACCCGTACTGGCAGTCTAGCTCTCCAGGGACGCATGTCAACGAGCAAAGGAACCAAAAGGGTATGTTTTCATGGGTCATAAACTTTTGACATGGCACGATCTCAAATGAACAAAGTCTTAACTAAGAATTTTTAGTGAGTTAGGAGTTCGAAATGGTTGGAGTCTCTCCCCATTCTCCCTCTAAAGCATATTATTATCTAAAAGTTTAAAAACCCTATCCTTTTATTTCTTGAGATAAAATCACGTTAATTTTATTTTGCCCTTCTTTTGTAAGAAATATATCATATTCGGAAACTTTGAACTCTAAAAGTAAAAGTTTAAAAATGAGCGCAGCTGAGATAGAATCTCTATTATTCTGGGGTCTCAATGTGTTCAAACCCCATAGTTAACGTGAAACTTTCAAACTTAGAACAATGATAATTTTGCCATGCTGCAACTCCAGTTGCATTTGAGTTTCTCATAATCAGTAACTCATATTTTCTGGAAATTACAAGCAGCAAAAGGTTTACGAGGAAATCGAAGGAGATTCATATTTTAAAATCACATCTGACTTCTAAGGAGAGTATCGTAGGTGTCAAAAACGTTACGCAACGTAAACTTTTCTGTGCTGCACGTTACTGTGCCTGCTAAATGAAAAAAAAAAGACTTCCTTTTTTTCTATTTCCTCGGATGACATACGTTGCTGTGCGTGTTAAATGGAAAAAGGAGTTCCTTTTTTATTTCCATATATGCCATTTCTTTGTTGCTTTATTCTTCGTGTGTCACTAGTTATCAACACCTAATCAAACGTTGTGGAGAAAGGCGCTGGTGCATCATTGTTTGGTACGAAAAGAAGTAAAAAAAGAAAAGAAAAAGAAAACCGCTCATTTGAATGCTTGTCATTTCATTTCAGAGGAACCTCATGCCTGTGTCGTCCGGCAATGACGCCGCCAAAAGAAAACTTACCGTTGGAGGACAGTTCAAGGTCAGTGAGAGACACAAAATCTCTATTCACTGCAAACAAAAGAGCTTCGGAAGAAGTTAAGATTTCACATGTTTAAGGGCTAGGTGATTTTTGTCAGGGACATCATATGTTTTGACTCGTGCCTAGTAACTATTTACTTCGCATTGCAAGAAGGAATTAGCGTAGAAATTTAAAAAAAAAACGCACAAAAAACAACAACCTTTGGAGTCGTACGAAGTTACACAATGCTTTTTCTAATGCTTCTTCTTTTAAAGCATTGTTATCAACTTTCTTTTTTCAACAAAATTGTGCTTTTCACTGATTCTTTTCTACACTGTTACGTACATCCTTTAAACGTCACTCTTGTTCTCCCCAGAAACACTGGCGTCTGTGGTGTAGAGGTTAGGTGCTTCATCATCGCACACAAAAACCCCCGAGTTCGATTCCAGAGCGGGGATAATTTTTATGGAGTATCTCAATTTTTTGTTGTTGGAACGTTGTATGCCTCTCAATAAAGGTTAAGCCCAAGGCATCTAAAAAAGCGATATCCTCGATAGCCTTGACAGGCCAGGTCTTAGCTCGCCTCCTAAATTGTCTAAATTGAGTCGATGGTGGCGAAGATGGGGTGGGGGCTGGGTGTGAAAATCACTTACAATAAAGAATATTATATATTATCATATTTCTTCCCAGAACTCACTGGCCATTCTAATGGAGCGCATGACGGCATCCACACCAATATTTGTTCGCTGTCTGAAGCCAAACCACAAGAAACAGCCAGGTGTTCTGGACACAAAATACGTGCTAGCTCAGGTAAGTTGTTTTAAACTATATCTCAAAGCATTATAAAGTTTGAACCATTATTTTGCATATTAAAAAAAATTCCTGTCTGAAATTATTGAGAAGAGAAATAAGAGTAGGCTATACAAATTTGTCAACGCTGTCAGGGTGAAATAATTAAGAGCAGTAGCCTGTAGTTTTTGGCAATCATCGGAAATTTTTACGTAGTCTTGTTAACACTATTCCTCTCACCTCTCTACAAATCTAACATCCAATGAACTTAAATGACGAATATGTCCACGCTGTTTTAAGTTCGGTCTTGCCGTTGTCTTCAATCTTTTATGTCACTGTGATCTTCATGCTTATTTGTACGTTTCTTTTTTGTCGCTTTTAAGGATAAGCGGGCTAACCCAGATCTTGTTTCCAGAAATCTTGACCAACACCCAACGTGGGCATTGCCCTGTCTATAGGAGAAGTTTGGTTTCATCGGTGTGTATGTTTGTTTGGTTATAAAAAAAACTCTCCTTGTCATTTAAAGAAACTAAACAAGGGGGAAAAAAACTTGTGCCCCCTTGTGCATAAAAGCGACCTTTTAAAAAGTGTACCTACTGTAGTGTTAAACGCATGCACAGAACAGTTGACTCTTCATGCAAGATTGTTTTCTTTAAACCCGAGCCTGAAATTCGATAGCAAAACACGTACGTCCTTACGTGTGTGTGTAATGGATCCTCAAACCTTTCTTTCTCAACACAGCTGCTTTATACTGGCATGTTGGAGACTATTGAAATCCGGAGAAAAGGTTTCGCTGTACGACCAACATTTGGAGAATTTGTTGAAAAGTGAGTGTGGGGTGTTGACAGGCGCTTTGGTACGGTTTGATCTTTCTTTCCTATCAAACATCTGTCACCCTTTTCTTCGTATGTTTTTATCTAGTGCCACCGCTAATCTTCTCCACGTACAAACATATCTTTTCTAACGGCCACTGTGCAACACTTGTTCTTGAGCTAGGGTTATCGTGTCTTGCTCAAAGGCAAGTCCCAGTAACCAGCCACGTAATTCCATGTCACCAACAAATCATCGATGGCCGACTCTTGCCGTGTGTGTGTGTGAGAACCCTGATTTTCAGAAAAGTGAAGGAAAAAAAATCACCATGATTTGTTTCTTACTATTTTCAGAATTGCTTAACATTTTTTTAATAGAGTGTTCTTTTGACATAAAGCATCACCTATTGTAATTATAAATGTGAATACCATAATTTGAGGCAAAGAATGGTTGGTGCAATTTGACGGATGCAGGGTTAAATTTGAACACCAACAATGATTATGCTTGATAATGTTGTTAGCCGTCTTCTACGCTGTGTTATGATAGTGACACGCATTTATATCTCGCTGTGATAACAGTCATGCCTGGTTATGCAATATGTTACACAGTCATTGATAAAAACGCAATTTATATAACCTATGTATGACGTCACAGATACAAAGTTCTGGTTGATCTCAAACTTACGCCGTCCGCCCAGAACTGTTCCAAGATTCTCACCACAGCCCGGCTTCAGGGCTGGTATGTTGGGTAAGTAACATGGTATTCCCCTTTATTAGTAATTATAGCGCAACCTATATTGTCATCGGATCAAAATTGCTGACTGCAATTTACCCATTTAAGTTTCCATAAGTGTTAAAACTTATCTTATGAATTTGTTTGCTTCTCTCTTAGCTGAAAAAATGAAGGCAATATAGAGCAAAGCACTTTAAAAACTAAATTAACTCTTTCAGTATCCAGTTGCTCAAATCCATTCCATTTATGGGACTTCCTGCTCATCCAAATTGGATTTTTAGAAGATATCAAGGCTTTTCTAAAGATTGGAATATGATCAGATCTACTTATCAGTTAAGAATGTGTGCGTATGAATCAAGAAGAGAAGCCTTATGACAATGTTTTTTCGGTATTTTTGTTTCTCCTGAAGCTACACCAAAGTGTTCCTGAAATACCGTCATGTGGAACAGTTGACGGAGTTATTGGAGAAAGTGGGGAAATCTGCCATATGTATACAGAAGTGTAAGTCGTTTTTATCCCTGAAATCTGTTATAAAACTATGGAAGAGAGAGAGAAAGAGAGAGACAGAGAGAGAGAGAGAGAGAGTGAGAGAGAGAGAGAGAGAGAGAGAGAGAGAGACAGACAGACAGACAGACAGACAGACAGACAGACAGACAGACAGACAGACAGAGAGTGAGAGAGAGTAAGAGAGAGAGAAAGAGAGAGAGAAAGAAAGAGAGAGAGAGAAAGAGAAAGAGAGAGAGAGAAAGAGAGAGAACGAGAAAGAGAGAGAGAAAGAGAGAGAGTGAGAGAGAGAGAGAGAGAGATGGGGGGGAGAAAGAGAGAGAGGGGAAGAGAGAGAGAGAGAGGCGGGAGGGGTAGCGAGAGAGAGGGAAAGAAAGAGGGAGGGAGAGAGAGAGAGAGAGAGAGAGAGAGAGAGAGAGAGAGAGAGAGATAGATAGAGATGCAAAAAATTTTTAAAAGCATAGTCCGCATGTGTAAATCAAAAGCAAAGCCTACAGATCATACTAAGCGAGCGCCGCCAAGTAAACTGTTGTAAGTAATGTTTTTCACATTTTACAGGAGCAAAAACGGATTCTCTTGAAGCGTTTTGGGTTGACAAACTTCATTTTCGTAAAGGAGCCTACAAATGCCATGACAGACATTAGGCTCCCTTTATATAATGAAGTTTATCCATCCAAAACGCACCAAGAAAATCCTGTTTTTTTGTCTCTCCTGAAAAATTTGAAAAACATGACTTACCATAGTTTACTTGGCCGCCCTCGAATTTTTTGGCTCTTTGTTAAAAAATTTGTTACTCAGAAAGGCTACAGTTTTACCAAGTTTGTCTCTATCCTATAGTGTTAGTTTTGATGATCCAGCTCGTGAGAAGCATTTATTTTTTCCTTGACGTTTTGAAAATATGATCTTTATCTTAGATATTTTGCATCGGAAGAAAAAACAATATTGACTCGTCTTTGACATTTTAGCTTTCAGATGAAACAAATGTGGCATTGCAGATCACGTTGATGATTGTGGTCTCCACACGATTTCAAGCAACTGTAATGAAATAATTCTTATTCAGATAAGATAAGAAAAGATAAGATAATACTCAATTATCCCAGAGGGAAATTTTTCTTGGCTGTACAGGACCATAAAAACACATGTAGGCATGCATAAACATTTTAAATTATATATTACTCTCATTAAAATTCAATATGAAACGAGAAGTAAAGTTGACAGAATGTACACATCACATCAGATGCATCATGCAACTACGTGCAGAAATTTAATTACAAGACCTTTGGACTTATATAGATACATACTCTGAAGAGCAAATACACATCTATGCTTATTTTGACAATAGCCTAATGCTTGATAGTAAAAAACTTCTTTTATATCTTTCTTTCTTTGTTTTTAGAGGTACATATAATATGCCGCTGCGCGATCTGACACAACGGAGTGGATTTTCCGTGGAGTACCTCTGTCCACAGGTTGATGATTGCTTCACCGACTGCACCAGTTTCTACTACCAATGATCTAAAAATAAATGAAATGAAAAGAACGACCCATTTAACCCTATCCGTACGCCCTGTGGTCATTATGTACCCCTGGGTTTGTATTCTTCACATTTTAGAATCCTTTTTGTTCAAAGATGTCTTTGAAACTTTCAATGTTTCTCAAAAAATCATTTCGACAGGCTGCTATGCAAAGCATACAGATCGGATTAACGAGTAAACTTCCTCTTTGGATACGATAGTAAAACACGACGTACACATAGGATTAAATAAAGGAAAATAACTCGGCCATTTTTGGGCCAATTTCAACAAAACTTCCAATTTACGTTGTCAATTTCCCCGTTCTGTTCAGACACCAAAGGTTACCTGGCCCGGAAGCGATATAGGCGGCGACAAGAGAAGGCCAGGAAGGAAAGGGAAGCTGTGGAAGCCATGCTTCGACAAGCTGCTCAGCTCAATGCCGAGGCCAGCACGCGCCTACACACACTCACTGAGCATGATAAGACGAAACCGAAAGGTGAGCTAATTAGATCGAGTGCTTCCCAACCTTTTCAGAGCCAGAGTAGTTAAAGGCATGGCAACATTTACATATTTTACAAAACAAAAAACCTCAACCACCACCTCCACCACCAACAACAACAGCAACAATAGCAACAAAAAAGGAGAAATAAATAAAAGGCACAACACGTAAGCACCGATGTTATGAAAATTGATGTAGTTTTTCTCTCTCTCCAGGACAAGCATAATTTATGGCATATTATTTATGTACACATGTCACTGTAGAACCACTCTCCTTATATTCATGATATGGATATTTTAACAAGGTTTGGCAAGATGTATGAATGTAGAGGTATATTTCGTCTGTAATATATATATATTATGATAAAATATATATGTGTGTGTTTATTGTTATGTCTACAGTGTATATTCGTGTTTTCATAAAAAAAACAACCCAAAACCAACCCAACCCAAATCCAACAAAATCAAGCCAAACCAAACTCAACCGAACAAAGAGGGCTTTCGTGGCCTAGAGGTTAAGGTATTTGACTCTCATTCAAAGGTCCCGGGTTCGAATCCTAGAAGCAACGGAAAATATTTCTTCTCTTAAATTGTCTCCTTTCACCCCTTTTCCTGCTCTCTAGCAATTTTCTAGCGTCTGCTTTCATCTTCACTTTCTGCCCCCACCCCTTCACCTCCTTTGCCCCCTCCTCTGGGCCCCTTGACTCTTTCTGCAGCCTTTCTATTGCTACTCCTTGGCTACTTTTTACTGCTGTCTTTCAGCCACTCCTCTGATCTTCTGGTAGGAAAGATCTCTCGGACAGGGGCGAAAAATCTCGGAGGTCTCAAGTCCAAGTTGCGCCCATTAAAGATCCCATGGTAGTTTAAAATCGATAAGAGTAGGCTTCGGCCGTCATCCAGGCAAAATTAAGATTTCCTACCAACTGAAAATGTTTGGTGTGCCCCGCGCGCTTGTATGAACTTGCAGTTGCGAGCGCCGTAAAACACTTACCAAAAAAAAAAAGCAAAAAACAAAACCCCCAAACAAAACTGAACCAAACCAAGGCAAACCAAACCGAACCAAATCAAACCAAAAAATATAACACAGTATCCCTTTACACAGATCAAGTGAAGCCCGCCAAAACCCCTTCCGCCCCAGACTTCCCAGCAGATGGCATCTCTGTGGCGTCCAGTGGCAGGTATCTGGAGCCCAAGAAGACTACAACCTCAATAGGGACACAGGTGAGTTGAAAGGATCATTTTGGTAGATGAAAAAATGGTGGAATGGTATATGTTTAACGTCCATCTCCGAAAGGACCGAGCCAAGTGGGAAATTTGTGTAAAGTATCTTTCCCAAGGACACAACGTCAGACCTAGCTGAGGTTCGAACCCTCGAACCCGCAATCTCACGATTACAAATCCGGTAGCCTAACCAGTAGGCTACTGACGCCACTATTTTGGTTGGTGGTTTGAGCCTTTGTTCAAAATATAATCCCATTTGATGAAAGTCTTCACGAGGAAGGGTTAATGACACTACTTCCAATGTTAGAAAATACTGGGCCAAAAAATTGACACAGCCAGAATTTGGGTGAGCAAAGAAAAAAATATTGGATCGAGTGAGCCTCATATTCGGGAAAATGTATCTCAGCATAATTTACTAGGAAACATAGTTTAATCACAGGCTCCGACAGAAGATCCTTTTCAACATTTTCTCTCACAATTTTTTTTTTACTTTTCATTTTTAATCAGTAATATTTCCCTTCAGGTTCCCAAGAGGTTCACTCACATTTTCTCTGTTTTAATATGTTATTTTTTTATGTATGTGTACACACTCACACACACACACACATGCACACAAGAAAGCAAAAGCCAGAAAAAAAAGCTAGGATCAAAATCCTCAAATCTTTGAATAGAATGCTAGATATATATTCTCTCTTATTCGCGGTTATTTCAAAGCAACGAATTTTAAAAAGCCCATAATAACCGCAAAAAACGGTGTCATCATAATAATATCCATGACGATAATATTAAACATTTACCCCCCCCCCCTCCTCCGGAATAAATAATAAATAGAGCTATGTATATATTTTAGAAATTTTTATTTGGCTCTTTTTTCCCCAGATGGAGGAAGAAAGCGGCTCGGACTCCGAGATTTTGGAAGACGATTATCAGCCTGTGTCTTCAAATTTAAAGAAATTTGGTCGTGAAGGAACGAAGACTGCGGCAATCAATTGGTTCAAGGAGACTCAGACTTACAACGTGGTGGACAAAAATGAGAACAAGTTTTCAGAATGGTTTCATGGCATCATCTCCAGAAGGTATTTACTTGTATGTAAAGCAAACGCTTGGCAAACAGTTTTGGCCAAAAATATTATCTGCAAATTAACCCCTTCATTGCCAGACCTAAAACTCTTGAGCTATAATTTGGTAGGATTTCACAGAATGTCTGGCAGTGATTGGATTAACTATTATATACATCATATACTAATATAATAGTTCGTACATTAGTTTCTGACGATATAAGGCATCTGTAGAACATAGCATGTCTAAAGCGAGAAAGAAAAAATAAAGGTAAAGATGCCCTATTTCGCATATTTATAAACTTCTCTTCCACTTATGAATGTGCACAGATTGAGGGCTTCCCCATTTGACTTCAGCACATCTCTGCAGATACATTATCAATGATCAAAATGCTTTGTTTGTTGTGGCATTCAACTTCTCACTCACATTTTCTCTGTTTTAATATGTTATTTTTTTATGTATGTGTACACACTCACACACACACACGCACACACACACACACACACACACACACACACACACACACACATACACACACGCACACACCCATACACACACACTCACATACATACACGCGTACATACACACACACACACACGCACACACACATACACACACAGACACACACACATATTCCCCAT